CCAAGGTACATGCCCTTGACCGGAATCGAACCTGGGACCCTTCAGTCCGAAGGCCGACGCTCTATCCACTGAGCCAAACCGGTTAGGGCAGTTTCCTGATTTTTTTACGTGGACTTTTTCTGTTGAGCTCTAACACACATGCAGGAAAGTGCACCGATAATCTGTGTACACCTTGATACATTTTCACTTGGTGGCATTCTCAGAAGGACTTGCCCCGCATCAGAGACCCCTTCCCCATGCCCCCAAGGCCACTCCTTCTTCCCCTGGAGGGGGTTGGGGGATGTCTGTGTGGGTGGCTCTATCACATCATGGCCCTGTTCCCCTCAGCCATGGTTCTCAGTGATCTAGGGGTAGACCTGAGGGCCTGGCCAAAATCTGGCCGTCTATGTATCACAAATGCATGTGCAAGAGGTGGGGGCTTAGGTATCTTTGTGGCTGAGCCACCCGTAGAAGCTCAGTAACTCCCTCATTCCCCAGTACTCCCCCCACCCGGCAAGGATGCACTGTTAAAAAAGGCCTTTGAATTAAAATGCTCATCTTCTTCCTTTTATTCTTTTGGGAGGAAAGACAATGTTTGTATTTGAAATGTGTCAGATCATAAGATGGGATGCCAGCCCCTCCTCCCCTTTGCTAGGATTTCATGGGTCCTGCTGTTTGCAGAGAATGCTCTTTCCTGTTCCCTCCCTCTGCCCCCGCCTTCCTCACAGCGGAGCCCGTTTGGAGAGATTGATGGAGTTCTTAATGCTTTGGAGACAGTCTAGGACTTTTTTCAAATGTTGGGGTCAGACTGACATGTGTGTATATATAATGATAATCGGGGCTAAACAGTCTTTTCTTTTTATAATTTATATTCGGAGACACTTTTCCTGCACGCGTACTGCCTCTGACCCTTGGCTGTCTGACCCACAGAATGCCTTAATTTTCCTTCAGTTTACTGGGAAATGCAGTGTTTGGATCTTCGAGGAATTTTCTAAGATCCCTCCGTAAACAGTTTACGGTTCTTAAAACAACACGAGGGGGCAATAAACTAGACACTTAGGGCAGCGAGTCCCTCCCGGTGAGAGCCCGCGTGCTCCTCCGTAAACATCCGCCTCTCTCCACGGTCCCTCCGACCCAGAAACACAGTAAGACGGGCCAAGCCCTCGCTGCCAACGGCTCTACACAATCCATAAACTAAAATGTAGCGGATTTACTGGGTAATTCGAAGATGATGAGGGATTCAAGTTTGCAAGCCATCAGCATTGAATCAGAACTAAAATACAAAAAAATCAATTACCAAGTGGAATAGAGTGATGATCTGCTTAGCGATACATGTTTATAGCTCCTTGCCCTGTATCGTTTCAGTCTATTGAGAAATGGGCTATGGGTACGAAACAGTACCACGTGGGGAGGATGAAGGTGGCTTGTGGTACAAGGAATAATGAGATTGTCTTACGTAGTTTCATGTCATAAGGCAAGAGGCCTGTGTGACCGAACTCAGGTGTCCAGTCCCCTTGAGTGTGTCCTCTTCGCCTTTGGGCAGAGAGTGGCCTTGTCCGGGGTCCCGCTGGCAGGCGGCCTGAAGGGATGAAGCGCCGAGAGGCTGGCGGGCAGGGTGTTTCCTAGAGCGATCTGACGGACTACCAGGCTCCGGGGAGTCCCTTCCCTGCTCTGAACCCCTCTCTGTCCTTTAGGCCTGTGCCCACCGCTGGAAGAACATCTTCTACGAAACAGACCACATCCTGCCCCACGGCTTCTGTTACATCATCCCATCCAACCTCCAGGCCAAAGGCAGGACGCTGATCCCTTGCTATGAAGGTGAGCGCTCTGGGTTCTCCCACGCCCTCTACCCACGTGGGGCCCTAAACAACCCCCCCACCCAGCACTTCCCCCAGCTTTCCAGTCTCTAACAGGAGGGCAGCACCGTGTCCCCAGGTGGCCTCTTGGTCCTGCCCAGGTAATGAGGAGGGTGGGAAGGGGGTCATGGTTCTGGGCCCTGCTCAGTCTTGCCCAGAGCCCCTGGTGCTTGCCATGCTTCATGAAGTCTCTGAGATCAAAATTCACCCAGTCCCAGCCAAGGTGCCGGATAGAACTCTTGGTTTCCTGGTCCTGCCAGATGCTGTGTGACCTTGGGGAACTTGCTTTCTGTCTCTGGGCCTCCGTTTCCTCACCTGAAAATTCAGAGGTTGGCTCAGAGAGTCTCCACAGTTCCGTGGAGCTCCCGGATGGACGTGAGGCTCCTGAGGTCCTCCTGGCCACACCCATGGATAAATGCCCAGAGGCAGGGGACAGAGATTTCCCAGGATTCAGTTTCATAACATCAGAAGTCGGACTTCCCTCTTGTCTGGTCCGTGCACCCTGTCGGAGGCCTGAGAATTGGGTGCGCCCTCAGCCCAGTGTTAGAGCTGCTCCCCAGGGGCCGCTGGGGGGTCTGGGAAGGAAAATGTGTTTCCTCAGGCTCCCTGCTTAGCATCTTCCAACGGCTGGGCCCGGGGGACCCATGGAGCCAGTTGTTCTTTAGTTGAGTTGAATTTGGCTTCAGGGATTCAGAAAAGGCTGTCATTTTCTCCCGTTGTGTAGCTTGCACACTCACGTTTTCTGAGCCCGATTCTGAGTGAGCTAGAACCCGTTTCCCCTCTAAGACTGGCTGTTGTATTTTAATTCGCCCCCTGATTTGTTTGTTTGGACAGAAGTCTCGACTCGCCTGTGTCCTCATTCCTTTGGGCCTCCCTGGGTTTTCCCAGGTTTCAAATTCTGTGGCCACCAAAGAGGTTGCTGAGAAACGCTGGCTGGACACCTGCACTTTCCTGCCTCAGGGAGGACCCTCCAGGCCCTGACGGGGACTCAGGTGGCCCGAGCAGGGTGTTCGGTGACGTGGCCCCGCAGAGCAGCTGGCAGGGCCCCTGCAGGGGCCACGGGCTCTCTCCTTCCCTGAGGACGAGCCTTCTCCCCAATGTCAGCATTTGCTCAGCTGGCGGGGCCACGCAGGGACATTGACCTCTGACCCTCTTATCGCTGTATTGCCCCCATCGAAGAAAAACTTCATCTGAAATATAGATGATACTGTAATCAGTCAAGAGGGAGGGGTAGGTAGTATAAATACATAAATTACGGGTCAAAGCTGTATTCTGCCTGCCCAGTGTATTCCTCCGGGATCAAAGAATGAGTTAGGATATGGAAGCGTGTGTGTGTGTGTGTGTGTGTGTGTGTGTGTGTGTGTGTGTCCCCAGGGGGAAGGAGGAGGACCGGGAGCAGTAAGAGGGTGGGGTTGGGGTGCAGAGTGTTGAGGTAGAAGCGCAGCCTTTTAGAACAACAGGGGATTGAACAGAACCATTTCTGTGGTTCTTGGTCCATAAGAGGCCGGGGGTGGCAGGTGCTCAGATTTTTCTAGAAGACTAGAACGGCAGGGTGGGGCACGCAGACCTCAGTTAGGGCTCTTGCCTTTGCTCTGTTGGTTTTGGGGATCTTCCTCCCTGTGTTGTGGTCTACACTAACCTACATTGGCTCTGAAGGCAACCATTATTTCCTCTTAATGTGGAAAAAGTCGGTGACGCAGGCTCTCTATTCACTGGGCGGGGATCGCATCATGATTAAGAACAACGGAAGTACGGTAGGGTTTGACGTGACCCTTCAAATATCACCTAGGCCAGCCCGTCTTTGTTGAGGTCTAGAGATGTGGTGTGGCTTCCTCAAGGCCAAGTTTTTCTTTCCATTCTGTTATTCAGATGCCACACAATGGAGAGTAGCCTGGTGGCCAAGAGCACAGGCTCTGGACCTGGCTGCCAGAGTTCAATGGCACTTGTTAATGGTGTGACTTCAGTTGAGTTATTTAATATCTTTGCGCGTAGCCCCCCTCAAAGGGCTGTGAAGAGGATTGAGTTAATATCTGTCAGTTCTTAGAACACTGCCTGGCATGTATGTGCTGATATACTACATGCTAAGTATTCGTATGCTAACATACCATACTAGAGGCCCGATGCACGAAATTCGTGCAAGAGTAGGCCTTCTTTCCCCCGGCTGCTGGCACCAGCTTCCCTCCCGCACCCGGGACCTGGGCTTCCCTCACAGCCCTGGCTTCATCCAGAAGGTCATCTGGTCTAATTAGCATATTATGCTTTTATTATTATAGATTATGGGCTAGTGTTTTTTTATACCAAGCAAGTGTTTGTTAAATCACCATGAGGTGACTAATTTGTCTATTAGGAATAGAGTCCACTTAGGCTTATTAAGTTAGATACTGTGCTCAGTGCCTGATAGATAAAACCCAAGTCTCAGAGAGTAAGAAGTTTCCCATGTACAGGGGAGAACAGAGAGGGAACACAGTGTTTCAAAAGTGAGAGAGCTGTGTGTGGGGTGGAGAATCCCGTGCCGGGTACCTCTCCCCAAGGGCCCGCGCTGCATCCAAGTTCGAGTTGGCACTAGGGCAGAATTATTTTATTTTACAACTGGAAAAACTGAGACCTGTGTAGAGTCTGCGGTCTGATGGGGCCCATAGAAGAAGAATGGTGGGAGTCCACAGGTGGGCATGGCGGAGGGTGCAGGGCAGGGGGAGGGGGAGGTTCGAGTCCTGGGGAATAGCAGAGAGACCACTGGAGGGGTGGGGTGCTTGTTCAGACCTGCTCTTCGCTGCTTCTGTCTTCGCGGCCACAGGCCTGTGGCTGGACCCTCGGTGGGACTGGATGCTGTGATGGCTCCATTGCATTTACTTCTTGGGGCGGAGGCGGGAGGGGGGAGGATCATGAGGAAACTCAGGTGACAGTACCCAGGAAGACCACACATTGTTCTGTAATTGTGGCCTTATTGCAGGTCCCGTGAGGGCTCGCTGTGCTCTCTTCAGAGCGTAGCAAGGTTGGTTTAATTACGGAAAGCCTCTAAGTGTGTGGGCACCCGTCCAAATGTCTCAGACTTTTGAATTCTTAAAAAATTGGTCTTTGGTTTGGCACAAGGGCCTTTTTCTCATGACTTTTCAGGTGCTTCCTGTTTCTGGTTTGGTGGGAAATGCTATCAGAATATCCTGTTTGGAACCGGGAAATGTAGAGGGAATAGGAAAGAAAAATGGATTTAGGGCAAAGTAAAATATAGGAGTGGAGCATACCCTTAAGTCAAACCATTTAGTCCATGTTCGATGCAAGCTCAGCATCGTCACCACCATCTGTTGCTGGTTTTAGCAGAATCTGCGAGAAACCCAGAGGTTCGGTGGGATGACATATGTGGGGAAAACTTTGTAAATTGAAGAGCAAGCACTGTAAAATAGTAGTTACTGTTAGCCAAGTCATGATAGTGTAGGACTCCCAAAAGTCGTCAGTGCATTGATAAAATCAGATGCAGAAATTTCTTTCATCCTCGAACCTATTGAAACAGGAAGCCAGAGGTTGGCCGGAGTGGGGCTGTATAACAGTCACTTTTTATTGTGATAGAACAGCCTCACTAATATGGAATAATTTGAGAGCAGCTCAGCTACATTAACAAAAAAGTGTTCCAGATGAAACCCTGACAAATGTAATTAGGGTGCCAATGTATATTAGACCTACTTTCAGAATCTGGCTTTATCACCGAGTTATCCCTGTGATTTCACCCATTGCTCCTACGTTCTGACTGGGTGACTTTGGGCAAACCCCTTGACCCTCAGCGCCCTCATCTGTAAAATGGGAGCGATCAAGCCCTATTTAAGTGTTATTTGAGGTATATAATGTGCTTAATACAGTTCCTAGCTCAGAGTGAGCATTCAATAAATGTGAATTTTCTGATTACCTTCTAAGTACCATAATAGTATTCTTAAACATTCTCAGAAGGAATCTAGCAGATTCTGCTTTAATGGGTAATGGAGGTTAGAAAGCTGAGTATTACTAAAATGATGCTAAGACTTCTTGAAAAGATGACCATTTCTTAAATATTTGCACAATTGATTTGCTTGTTAAACTCTCTTTTTTTTTAGTAGATGATCTAGAGTTTAACTCATGCCACATTTAAATGTTCTCAAGTGTGGAGTTGTTGGGGTTTGAATTTCTCAAATTTTACTGTGTTTTAAAGCGATCCCATCGACTCTGAATATTTCTGTACCACTTTATTACCAGGGTGTGGCTGTGCTGGCCTTTTATTCCCTATTTGTTTTGCATCTCCAAGGACAGCGATCATTTCTAGGGAAGGGAATAGATCACCCATTCAGATGTGAAGGTCTTTTGAAATCTCCCTTCTAATGTTGGAGGCTATGGCTCCCCAGGGGATAAAAATCAATCAAGAGCCATTTACAAATGAAAAGCAATTTAGTTTTTTGTTTTTTGTGTGTTTTGTTTTGTAGATAAGTCTAAGTTGATCCCTTTAAAAATTAAGAACAAACCCCCCATAGATTTTTATTGAAGAATATTTACATAGGATTTTATGGTTTCCAAAGAGTTTTCATAAACATGATCTCATTTAAGTAAATATAGCAAACATTTAAAAAGGGATGCAATTAGCCCAGTGAACTTCACTAGCTCCATCCTGACAACTCCCTGAGACCCTGCCCCAGCCAAATCACGCTTTGTTTGAGACTTGAGACTCTTTCGTTGCCAGCCAGGCTGGGCCCTCTTGCAGTCTTTCTTAAAAAACTCCTGAGGAATCCTGGTCAAGCTGGGATGGTGTCAGGGATGTATAGGGAGAAACTGAATTATGTGGCTTCAGGGCAAGGGCTGGAGGGATGACTGCCATTGTCCCTGTGTTGGCATGGCCAATGGGTGCCATCTTTCCTGTGTTGAGCCCTCCCCCATCACGTCCGAATCTGAATCTGCATTAACCTGGTGAACACCACTTGTCCCACAGTGGTGACTCCCTGAGACCTG